AATGTTATTGCGGGTGCATTTTTAATAAATTGCAAAAAAAAAAAAAAAGACATTTTTCCAGATGTTGGAATAAAAACAATACCAGCAGCTGCAAGTGCAACTCTGCTTCTGTTTTTGTTCAGGACGGAAAGTGAAGTCTGACACTGTCTCAAACTCCGAACCTGAGACGATCAGAGTGAGCTTTCCAGAAAAAGCCTTCCAGTTTCGGGTCATTTGTGTAATTACCTTAACAGCATTAAGACTTGAGGAAACGCCACGTAATGCAGAGCAGCTTCCTACGGCCAGCTTTGTCTGCAAGAACTACAACTATGAAAGAAAATAAACACGTGCAAAAGGTGAATGGAAAAAGAGGTGACGGGAGGAAGGAGGAGGCAGCTGAAGGTGGGAGTGGGAGACTTTCTATTTTTTATTCTGTGGTTGGTTCGCACAAAAGGGTCCTTCTGATCCCTGGAGTGCTGAGCACATACCTGTGGGATGAAATCAAAACCCTCTGCGAATTATATTAAATATGCCCTGCCAAATGCTCCACATACTTCCATGTGCTTTCACCAGTTCTGAACAGCTCCATTAGGTTTCGCTCTTTGAAAAAAAAAAAAGCATTTAATTATAAATCCAGACACCTTTAAAAAAAAAAAAACAACTTCCTGCTTCATCTAGTAGAGAGAAGAGTGAGAGGCTGAGGACAAACAGTAACAGACAGAAGGTCTAAGAGGTGGCCAGGTAAGGATAAAGAAGGATTTGCTGAAGGATGACAGCTGTGTTTCTGACAGGATAGTAAGTCGAGGAATAATAGGCCATTTCTGGTTAATCACAGGGCATGAAAGAAGAACAGAAGATTTTTCCAACGAGGTGTTACGGAGCAGAAGGAGGTTGGGATTACCATATGAGCTTCCACAAAGAGCCAATAAAAGCTCATAGAGAGACGATATCTCTAAAAAAATATGAGGGGATTTCAGAGCTCCCTCCTCCTCCTTTTCATCCTCTCTTCCTGGTCGCACTCCCCCTCCACTGAATCACAAACTGAAACCCCAAATGACTAACAGATTCCAGGCACCATGTTTCAAATGTCAGAACGCCTAGTTCAGGTTCTTTGACAGAGCGTGTGCGGCCACATCTTTACTCCGTACCATCCCCCCGCTGTCCTCGACCCTGAAGATCACCTGAAGATTGTAGTTTTGCTTTTCCCTCAGCCTGAAACATCAGTTCCTGAGCTGGACCAAACAACAAAGTCCTATTTTCTGTGAGGGAGTGAACTCTGAGAAAGGAACAAGGTCAAACTATCGCTCAAACATTCAATGGTGTTTTTCTGGTCTGGTTTGGTTAGCGGTGCTGCAGCTGCACCTAATCCCCACAGGAAAGCCTTCATCTGGGACTGATTTTAGCTGGGGTGGGAGAAACGGGGGACTGTTCTGTACAAAGCGAGTTCCCTTGTGGGGCACGGGCCTCTTCTCAATCCATCTGATTAAAGGGAGTTGGGCTCAATTACACCCACTGACTGGGCCCTGCTCTCAGGCACGACCCACCAACAAAAACACACAGAAATAGATGGTGGAGGGTCACATCACACCTGGAGCTCTCCCATCAGTCCGCCACAGAGCCCAGCAGCACACTCCGTCAGCGGGGGGCAGGTTCTGCGTCCGACCCGTGACTGGGTTGGGAAAAGGTCGACTCTCTGGGGACAGACTCATGTCCTCTCCAATCAACATGCTGGTGGGCACCGGGTCACTGTGGTCCGTTTTAATCAGCCTCCCGTCAGAAACAGCGGAGCGGCCGAGGTTTGCCGCGACATGAAGCGACAGAAGATGCCGGCATGTGAATGTGTAAGTGTTCGGCTGTATCTGTCTGTGCACCAGAGGGGAGGAGGACATGATGAGGATGATTACAGGGGTCACAGGCTGAACCTTCTCAGAGGTTCCAAACCAAGTGACCCTCAGAGCTTTATGACACCTACAAGCAGGCAAACATCACCAACAGTTAGTGGAGTTAACTGTGAGCGTAGCTGCTGCAGCGGGAGGGGGGGTAATTATTCTGACGTCTTAAGCATTTACGCAGCAAGCTGGTTGCAATCGTGCCCAGTTGTAAAGTTCACTGACTGCAGCTGGCTTAAAGGCCCAATTAAACTCATTATAATAATTTGGGTTTATAGAGGGAAGAGTACGGGGGAGAGAGCAGCACACAGATCCACACTGTTCTCCGGCGTCCAGATCTTGCAGCTTGTGTGGAAAATGCAGTAATAGGTACCTTTGCACAGTTCAAAACACCGTCTCAGACTCATCGCCCTACATCCCTCATTTTTCAGTCTCCATTTCAACCCCAACCAAAAAATAAACACCCCCCCCCCATTATTCTCCATCCAAATTATATTCCGCCCACAGCCCCGTTTCACTGGCTCGTGATCTCGGGCCTCTTTATGTTGTGACACTCCAAAGAAAACAGTCCTACTGAATGTTGTGGACAAGCACAGCTAACCTGATACAGGCCAGTCACTGCTCCAATTACACACCATGTTTACCACAGAGCTTTTCATTAAAAACACACAAGAAAAGAGGAACAAATCCATCTTTATGTGTGCCCCTCAGGCCTGAAATGACAGGGAGGAAAAGCCCACTATAGATGTTTGACTCTGAGCTTCCTCAGCTGCTCATGTACAACAATCTGTTAAGTGAGGAGATAAAAGTTCTCCTTTTAATTACCACATTCTGCCTTTTGCATATCTGCTTGTTCTTACACAAGAGATGATGCAATGCAGAACTAAAAAGCACATTATCCACAGATAATCCACCATGATAACAAACCAGAAACAAAGACGCAAAACAGCGTCAAAGGGAACTTAAGGACAGAAATATCCTGAGGGGAAAGTCTGATTAATGTAGATGTATAGTGCCTTTACTGAATAGAAACTGCATAAATAGTGGCCCAGACCTTTATCCTGCACTTACATTATAAACAACAAACTGAAAAAGATACAACGAGATTGAGTAAACAGATATTTTACCTAGAAATAAGTCAGCGCTTGCTGTTATCACGATTATGACGACAGTTGTAGCATGTTTAATAAAGGGTTTGGTCAGCACCTGCATGGATACGACTGAACAGGAAGCAGTCGTCGTATTTTCACCTAACTCCTGAAGCCTTGTTTGTTTTTGACAGTCCTGGATGTTTCCCACCAGCGGGCGAGAAAAGAGCTTCAGGATGTAACGTGGGGACAAGCACAAGATCCTGAGCAGTGAATAAAAACAAAGATCCCTTACAGACATATTTAACACAAGACATAAAAATGGAATAAAACAACCAGAGGTCAGAAGTCTAATCGAGGTGATGAAAGAAAAGCCAAAATTAAATGTAGCACCGAGAGAAAGGTGAAGAGCATACTGCAGCCAAGAAGTGAGGAATGAGGAGGAAAATGGCAGCAAAGGCCAAAGTCCCATCTGTCATTTACTGCTGGTGTGCAGGCATCTGGAATGGATGTGGCCCTGTGAGTTACAGCTCTCTGACACAACATACCGACATCTGAAGTGATTTAATACAGGACATCAGCACACACCCTCGCAATTACATCCAATGGAAAAAAAAATAATCACAGTATTTTTAAATGAACTAGTATCAAAATACAGGAAAACCATGTCTCAAATTCAAAGCTAATGAAATTTACTTAATAAATCCAAGATGATCTGCTCTTCTGTTGATTTAAAACGTGTGGAAAGACTCAGAGAAAACCAGACGATAGCTGAATACGGAGAATTGACAGCTTGTCCCCAGATGAGCAGGACCATCCCGGGGATTCATCGCCCTGTGTGCGCTTTCTCTTCACCGTCATGCCACCAGAACGGTAGTAACGGACTCAGCTTTGACGTTCCTCCGTCCAGAGCGGAGACACCTCAGAGACAAACCTTCCAAAAAAATTAACCAGTTTACTTTCTGCGGTTTCCGAAGACACTCGCTTCCTGGTTTGTGGGGATTTTGTTTCCAGATATTCGGTATCAACGGCAAAAAAAAAATAAAATGTTTGTTATGGAAATGAGGAGTAAACAATGTCTTCAGATATTCTTAATTTCCATGGAAAGCACGCCGGCACCAAACAGTGCGATGATTGCACAGAGTCACTAAGACAGACGACTATCTGTGGAGGAAATGGAGACGAGCGCGAGGGCAGAGAGAGCGGAGGCTGTTATTTAGGATTTTCCTGTGTCAACTCCTAAAACTCTCACAAAGTGGGGATAAACAATGACATTCCTCAGCCCAAGGCGACCAAAGGGAAGCGGTCTGTAATAAAAACTGTTCACAGTGTTTACAGAAAACTTACATTGCACAGCTTCACACTCTCTGGTCCAACCACACATGGAAGTACCATCTCCAGCACCTGATCCAAGCAACAGATCCGTACTGCTTCGTGCAGCCACGTCGCTGCGTTTTTACAGTAAGAATAATGACAGCACACGCACTTAACCCGCCACAGCAGGCTGCATGACCTCACGCGGTCCGGTCAGCTCCAGTTTGGACTGACTTGGCCCGCGAACCTGTTTATAATAGCACTAAAATGCATGAGCTGGATCTGACAAAGGAATCCTCACTTCCACCCCCTCTGTTCTCCTTCGTCCTCCTCTCTGGAGACCAGCCACGCTCCGGCTATCCTACGGTCCTCGGCAGCCGTGTTCGGAAAAACAAACAGCGGCTGGAGGAATGACGAGCAGAGATGTGTGAGTGTGTCTCTCTGCTGTTTCCTGACTCTTACGGACGTCCGGCACACACTGGACCCTGTGTTCTGACCCAGGAAATGGCAGGAATGTGGAGGGACAGTGTCAAAACCCTGGGAGGTCCACATGCCTGTCGATGCCTCCGCACATCACTTACACACACATGACACACTCATATGCACGCACCACAAACCACACAAGGACACACTTTTGACTTCTCTCGTCTCACTGACGGGCATTAAAGTGCAACGAGGTCAGCGTGGTTCTGTCCGTTACGGAGGACAACGGATACAAAACTGGACTCACCCGCTGGAGGAGCTGAGCGTCGCTGAGCTGAGCGAAGAGTTCAGCTTCCTGCTGTCCCACAGCCTCACCTCACGACTGCGCGTCTGCAGGTGCAACAAAACGAGACACAAAGCGCTGAAAACGCCGGCAGACACAAAAGAGCTAAATCAGGAAGTGACTAAATTCAAGCGTCCAGGTTCATCTGACAAGTTCGGCGCTGTTTGATGGTAACACACACTCGTCACATCATCTCAGCAGCAAAAATGACAACTTTGCATTGTGTGGCATTTTTAGCATAAAACCAAGTGCTGAACAGCGAATTCATTTTAAAATTCTGACAGTAAATTGGAGCCTGCTGGTAGAAAAAGTGAGTTTCGATATCGAGTGTGGAATGATAATGCCAACAGTGTTTTTTAAATATCACGGCTGGCAGCTCAACAGCCAACATGAGCCTAAGACCTCAATTTAATGCTTGCTTTTTACCTCAAATAACATCTCTACCTCCTTTTTTAAGGTTAACACAATATTGGTACTGGATAAAAACGGAGCAACACTGCTACGAAAACATCTCCAGCAGCAGCTTGTTGAATCTGTTCCTGTCAAAAAACATTTATGCAAATACACGTGGTGGACATCAAAATTAATCAGATAGTTAAAAAACGAAATGCTTTACAGAGGGCAGATAAAGACACACATATCAAATGCATGTAGTCAGAATAAAACATTTTTAAAAAGACACTGATTCAGTGATTATCAGGCAGGTCATTCTATAACAGCCTCATCTAAAGCTTTGCTGAAGGATTCTCACCATGTCGAAGCCGGTGGTGAGCAAACGGTCGTCTCGGACCCACAGGATGCGAGAATCCTTGTTGCTCTGGAGGCTCTTGGCACTCTGAGGGACAAATAATGCAAAAAAATAAACACTCTTGATCCAGACTACTTTCAGTCAGTGCCTCTGTGATGAACCCCGACTCTAAACATAACCTTGAGGTGTAGTTGAAGATAATGAGGGCAGTGATGAGTGAATGATTTGCAGGGAAGAGAAGGAGGCAGACGGGATTCCCAGGTGTCTCAGATCCCTGAGGTTGGACAGAACAGGACTTGTCCCATGAAAGGAGGGCTTGTTATTGTTGATGTTGTTGACAAGGTGACTTCTAAAGTGTGGCACTGCTTGTGTGTGTGTGTGCCTGTTATGTGTGTTTCTATGGGGAACATATGTCAAAACAGTGCAGCCCGGTTTGATAGGTGGTCTTCCAATATAAATGGAGGTGACGGCTGAAAACAGTGACAGTGTTGACATGTGAGGAATGTGCAGGATGTCAAGACAACATATTAAAGAGGGATCATGTGATTGCACAGGGTTTTGTAGGTATTTTACTCAACAATGAGCTGCTATTGAATCAGGCCATTTACTGTATGTGCTGTAATTAGGAACAGAAGAGGAGAGACGGATGATGTCGCTCTGCTCGCTCAAACTCCATCAGCTCCTCTAAAGAGGGGTTCTTCCTTAAAACCCCTCAGGAAACTCTTGCATTTTAGCGCTCATCTGTCAGGACAGGTAGGACTTGTACAGTCTGACAACCACAGAAGTCAGTAAGCCCTGTGGTGTCTGTGCACTAATGCTGGAATTACACTGAGCTTTCCCAGGAGAGGCAGCACTCAAGTTTCCATGGAACAAGAGCTGTTGGCTGCTCGGCTCACGGTGTTCCCCAAATTACTGCCGTGTCTTTTATGGCCCTGCTGAGGAACAGGCTGAGGACGGACGGACAGAAGAGGCTGAACACCGACTACTGCAGAGTTCAGTCCTGTGGAACTGTTAAATGGTCGCAGATGACGACGAGAATTTAAGCTTCCATGTCGACCCATGATACCGGGTAGGTTAGAGGGTAACAGGGCTCTGCACTACACAACCACCTAACATACGAGTCCACTGGGCATTTCACATCCACAGCCGAGACCAACTGTTGCACACAGAATAATTGAAGGCAGTCTGAGCAGAGTTCTGCACATTTATTTAGGGTGGGACCGACACATGTTCTAACTCAAAGCCCACTTCCTTTTCTCTCCTTTTTGATCTCACAATTCCAACCTGGTGGTTTGAGAATGGACTGTTGAGGCGTAGAAAAGGAGCAAGTTTTGTCTCAAACAAGCATTTCATTGCCTCCTGATCTCAAATCCTCTCTGTGCACTTGTTACTTGTTAACAATGACCAGCTGTACATTATGTTAGCTCAGGGGTGCAGCAGTCTTTGGGACGGAAGAAAACGAAGGATCAGGGTGGTAATGTTAACCAGCGGCACTGCTGTTTGTTTTATTGATTTCAGCAAAAAGGAATTTTAAAGTTCACTCCCTTTCCCATTGGGTTACTGTAATTATCTTATCTTGCTGAGTGGAGACAGACTGAGAGAAATGAGACACGGATTTCAGGATTAGTAATTTCTTGATAAGCAACCACCAGCTCAAAAATCAGGTCCTCAGATAGTTTGTACTGTTGTCACTAAACAATACCCAAATGATGTCAGGACCAAGTTAGAATATGTAAAAAAAATATTTAGGAAATGTTTTGTGACTGTCAAGAAATTAAAAATGTCCCAAAAAAATGACATTTAATTGTTATTCAGTTTGAGGTTTTGAATGTTGTTTTTACATTAGATCATCTATGTTTTGTTTGTTTTTATATCGTTTAAAAATTCTGTAAAAATTCTGTAAAAGTGCAGATTTTTTACAGTGTAATAGGAGCATTTTATTCACTGATGCTTGGCCAGCCAACCTCAACAGGACAGAAGCCAGTAAGTGCATCCAGCCGACGTGAACACAAATACAGCTCAGGATGAAACACAGGACGGCCCAAAAACCCTCCACTGACATTTTTACAAGTATGTTTCTGTACAAATTAAATAAACCAAACACATCATGTATAAATTAGGGCACTTCAAAGGCTTTTTACTCCAAGCCAGACCTTATGCTAAGCTAAGCTAATTGATCTGCACTCACACACACAGACATGATAGCAGTACTGGTGTTCTCTGTGAGGAAAGCAGCAAAGCTATATGAGCTATGTTAAGCTCTGCTCTAGTTATGATGATGGGGCCTGAAAGCTTCTTCTCCAGCTGTGGGTTGGATGCAGAACGAGCGTGTTTCCTGGTGCGTGACTGTGGCTCTGGAGGAAGAGCAGGTTGGATGTTCAACCAGTTCAGCTCCTCCCAATGTCCATGTACCCAAGTGTCCTTGGGCAAGACACTGAACCCCAAGTTGCTCCTGAAGGCAGACAGCCATCCATGTGTGAGTGTGTAAATGCACTTTTTAAAGCTCTACAGTAAAAAAAAAAAAAAAGTGCAACATTAGTGCGGTCCATTTACCGTTCCAAAAACGTTTGACTTCTCCACAAAAAGTAAAGTTCAGGCCAAGACTCCTGTGCTGGAACCGTCTCTGTCAGTGAAATAGAATAAACTATAAATCTTCAGCAACTGCTCGTTGGCCACACTGGTGGTTCAAACTGAATTTTTCGTGCTCAGCTATGAAGGGACTCGACGTTGCTTCATGTGCACTTCTACTCCTGCACCTCTCTGAGGGATGATATGTCTTTCTCCATACCACTGTTTTATCTGACACCATCTGCGAGTTGTACACATGTTTTCTGGCTCCTGCTGTGCTCCCATAAAGCTTTATCCACTAAGAGGGTTTACAAAACACTACTGACCTGGCTCTCAAACACGTCCCTGAGGTAACACTACCAAAGCACTGACAGAGTTGATAATAAGTCCTGGATTGAATAAACACTTGAGTCGTTTTTCAGCCTGCAGTCAGCTGGTAAGCTTCATGCAGGTAACCAAGCTCATATTTGCCTTGATAAGTCCTTTCTAGTGAGTCAGTTGAAAAATAGCCAGAGAGGTTCAGAGTAAACTCAGACTTGCAAAAAGGCGATAGATCAGAGAAACAGCGAGGGAAGGCTGCAGCTAGTGCGCTATAAACAGACATGGAGAGGATTCATTGCCACTGAGCTGTTCATCAGCAGCACAACTGGCTGATTTCCTTCCAGGGGCAACACAAAGGCCTGGCATTCTGACCAAACTCGGAGCAAGTCGAGCTCAGACTATTTTAAACCGCTGAATGGAGATGCATGTGCTTTCTGATTCGTATTTTTGGCAAACAGCGTGACATTCCAGTTATGTTCACACTGCACACACGAGTAAACAGCATAGATTCGGCATCATCACGTCTTTGCCATATTCAGTCACAGTGAAGCACGGCCGAGCGCCAGATGAGTTTGTCTGAGTCTGATGTCTACACTTCCCGAAGCATCGTCGGTATTACTCTGTAACCAGCAGGAAAGCAGAGTCATAAGATATAAAGTTAGAAGGTCTGAGCCTGTACTGGAGCAGAGCAGAGCTTCGAACTGAAGGCTGCAAACTGGGATTATATTCAGCAAATACTTTGTCTGAATTTCAAAATCGACTACGTTTTTCCCTTCTGTACATACTATTATGTACTATATTTTAATTAGATGTGCAGTATTTCATTTCATGTTCTAACTGCTCTATTCTAACTACTTATTTTATCCCAGAAATGTAATGTTTTATTTGCTATTCTACTTTGTAGTCACTGCATTTTTTTATGTTGTCATTTTGTTCAGTTTTTTTTCCTTTGGGATTAAGAAAGTTTTATCTCAACTTATCAGAAACCTGTTAGCAATTTAATCAATAGCTGGTGACATATTTCAAAGTCAGGAAAAGTCAGGAGCTCCCAACAGTTATTAGGATTCATCATGGAGGGATGAATGTCTGCACAAAATCTAGAGTTGTTGAGACGTTTCCAGACAATCCCAACAGCCACACGCAGGGGCAATAAAAACAATTAGGGCTGTGCACGCCCACACTAACCTCTGTCCTCCTTTTAGACTCGACTACAGAGTGGGGAAGACAAAAAGACAAATTTCCTCTTCGGGGGATCAATAAAAAAACCTCACTAAAAATATATCACCTTTCTGTGAACCCGCTCTGGAGCAGAAATGCTTAGTTTTGCCATTACAGCATCCCTCAGGCCTTCGGTGCAGCCAGCCAGCAGGCAAATAAACCGGCCTGTGCAGACATCACACATGCTCCATACATCACACCGCCATGAGGTCACCTTCCACCGGATCTGGAGGCACGTGCAGCTCCGAGCTTTAATGAAGATGTCATCAGTCAGTTGAGGATTAGGGGTTCGTGCTGGGCCTGCATTCACCGTTTCCCAATAAACAGTGTTTGAGCTGAAGGAAGCGTAACGCTGCTAACCCCGGGGCAGCCAGAGGACGCAACATCTGGACCCTGAGAGTGCGTAGAAATGTGGCCAAACAGTATCTCTCCTCTGCAGCCATAAATTCAAGTCAGATCCCATCCACCTACAGCCCCCCGCTCGCTGCTAAACCTCACCGACATGCAACAAATCGATCACGACACACTTGAAAACGGGAAGAGAGCGAGAGAGGGGGATGGAGAGGAAGAAAAAAAAAAAAAGAATAAGACTAATGTTTTCCTTAGCAGCCAAACAAAGGATGGAATCGCACAGAAGGACAGAAAAAAATAGAAGCAAGAAATGGTTTATGGCTTGACAAAATACGCACAAGAGGTGTAGAGAATCTCTTACACCTGCTCGGATGACTGGCTCACGTACACAGCAAAGGAAGTCGAGGAAATGACATCACATCTGGGAAAAGAATATTAGCAGCACAGGTGTCGGCATCAGAATGTGGGAAAATACTTATGATGATAAAGAGGGAATGCTGGAGGAGAGTAAAAAAGAAACGATGAGGCCGTGCAAATCAAACTCAATTGACACCAGACAAGAGTTGACGCGGAGGTTAAACACTTTGCAGGCTGCGATGTCGACGCAGGAAAGTGCCAGTCAGCAGTCT